CTGTGTGTGTGTGTCTGTGTGTGTGTCTGTGTGAGTGTCTGTGTGTGTGTGTCTGTGTGTGAGTGTGTCTGTGTGTCTGTGAGTGTCTGTGTGTGTGTGTCTGTGAGTGTCTGTGTGTGTGTGTCTGTGTGAGTGTCTGTGTGTGTGTGTCTGTGTGTGTGTCTGTGAGTGTGTCTGTGTGAGTGTCTGTGTGTGTGTGTCTGTGTGTGAGTGTGTGTGTCTGTGTGTCTGTGTGTGTGTCTGTGTGTGTGTCTGTGTGTGTGTCTGTGTGAGTGTCTGTGTGTGTGTGTCTGTGTGTGAGTGTGTCTGTGTGTGTGTCTGTGAGTGTCTGTGTGTGTGTGTCTGTGAGTGTCTGTGTGTGTGTGTCTGTGTGAGTGTGTGTGTCTGTGTGAGTGTCTGTGTGTGTGTCTGTGAGTGTCTGTGTGTGTGTGTCTGTGTGTGAGTGTGTCTGTGTGTGTGTCTGTGAGTGTCTGTGTGTGTGTGTCTGTGTGAGTGTCTGTGTGTGTGTGTCTGTGTGTGTGTGTGTGTGAGTCTGTGTGTTTGTCTGTGTGTGTGTGTCTGTGTGAGTGTGTGTCTGTGTGAGTGTGTGTGTGTGTGTCTGTGTGAGTGTGTGTGTGAGTGTCTGTGTGTGTGTCTGTGAGTCTGTGTGAGTGTGTGTGTGTGTGAGTGTGTGTGTCTGTGTGAGTGTCTGTGTGAGTCTGTGTGAGTGTGTGTGTGTCTGTGTGAGTGTCTGTGTGTGTGTCTGTGTGAGTCTGTGTGAGTGTGTGTCTGTGTGAGTCTGTGTGTGTCTGTGTGAGTGTCTGTGTGTGTGTCTGTGTGAGTGTCTGTGTGTGTGTCTGTGTGAGTCTGTGTGAGTGTGTGTCTGTGTGAGTGTCTGTGTGAGTGTCTGTGTGAGTGTCTGTGTGTGTGTCTGTGTGAGTCTGTGTGAGTGTCTGTGTGAGTCTGTGTGAGTGTGTGTCTCTGTGAGTCTGTGTGTGTGTGAGTCTGTGTGTGTGAGTGTCTGTGTGTGTGTCTGTGTTTGTCTGTCTCTCTGTGTCTGTGTGTCTCTCTGTGTGTCTCCCTGTGTGTCTGTGTGTGTGTCTGTCCCGGCGCAATGACGGCTGATTTTCGGGTGAGTGAGTCGGGTTCTGAGGTAAGAAAGAGCCGCATTAAGTGACTGTGTGTGTGTCTGTGTGTCTGTGTGTCAGCCCCTTAATTATTATAAGGAAATATTTGTATGTGTGACTTCCTGCGGCCTGAGCCTGTGCCCTGTGCCCCTGGTACAGAGGAAGGCAGATCCTCACAAGTGTTGATTTATTTTATTGTATTTTCACTTGCTTCAGTTTCATGAATTTTGTTGATCCTTAAATCGTATCCCCAGTGCTTATCCAATACTCAAGCTGTGTATATTTTTTGAGTGTCGGTCGGGCTCAAAGTTGTTTCTTAATGTGGAGTCTTATTCTTATTGTGGAGTCCTGTAGCTCAGTGGTTAGAGCACTCGCTTTGCAAGTGAGAGACCGGAGTTCAATTCCAGGCAGAGGGCGAAACCTTGGGCAAGTTTCCTTACTCCACACAGAGCCTAATAATAATCCCTTCAAAACAAAAAACAATAATAAATTGGTCATTTTCAATCTACGACCGTTTGTGGGACATTGCTGTGCGCAATTGGCTGCCGCGTTCGCCCACAAATATACAGTCAATTCACTTTACAGTGTGTTCTGTGAAGCGCTTTGGGTCGTCCTTCCGACGTGAAAAGCGCTATATCAAATGCAAGGATTATTATTATTATTCTCCTTAACAGAACTTTTGTAAAGTTTATCCTGAGACTTGTTTCTCCCGTTTATGTAACAGAAAACAACTCAATACCTAGTCTGGCTGTGAACTCAATCACATCTCTAAATGGTGGACTTGCTGGTTTAGACTGATGGTGATGCTGATGTAAAAGTAGAACAGATCTGTCCAAGTAGCACTGACATCTGTCAACCTGCTGAGCACAACTACATTTTATTGTAACAAAATTATATTTCAGAACAATTTGCTTCATAAATTTATAGAATGTGCTACAGCACAGATTTGGCTCATTTGGCCCATCAAGTCTGCTGCTGATTTTCTCCTCGTGATCCACCTCATCAAATCCTCAGTCTTGCTCACTGTCCTATCCTTTGATAATGCTGCTTTTTTCCTGAAGCCTGATTTAATTTTCATTTTCCAGCGGGAATGTACCAAGTCTTGTCTCCAGTATGTTTCGAAATCAATACCTTAAAGTGTTGGGAACCCACGGCATCAAATCCATACTCCACTGGACACCACCCCAGCTTTCATTTTCTAATGGAATCATAGCTAGAACATCACCTATGGATTCATAGAAAATGACAGCACAGAAACAGGCCATTTGCCCTATCAAGTCTGCTTATTGTGCATTTCTCTACATGCGCCATCTGATCTACTAACTTATCTCAAAAGTAAATGTACTGTGTTTCTGGTTTGAATTATCACTTTTTGTCTCCCTTATAATGGAAACCATTACCTGCAAGCTAAAGTTCTTGCAATGCTAAAAAGCAAATAATCCTGCAGGAAAAAATTGTCACACAATTACCATATAATAAAGCGATACTCTACCACTACATTGTAATATAGCACCTTATCACGTCGTTGAGACATCTCAGAGAACTTCACTAAATATGTTATAAAGTGGATTGACTGTGTATTTTGTGAGCGAATTGCGGCAGCCAATTGCACACAGCCATGTCCCACAAACAGTCGTGGATTTTATTAGTACTCCTAAGGGGATCCGAGTATCATGTCAGTAACAAACTTGTGCTCGATTACTGGACTGAATTCAGTTTGAGACGTTCTCATGAAATATGAGGTCTGCTACCACATGGCAGCACGGTTTACTCCTGGCAGTGGAGATGGAGATGTTTTTAGAAACTTTGTGGGCATCATAAAAATGTATGAAGATGAGATCAAATGGGTTGAAGTTCCTTCCTCAACTGAAAGATCTTGTCCAGTGAACAACAAAATTACATCTATAGAGCGCCTTTTACGTTGGGAGGATGTCCCAAGACCCTGGACAGTCAGGGGTCAGGACCCGAGCATGCGGGTGGGGTAGGAGTGAGGGAAGGCAGAGAGGTGGGAGGGTGACTGAAGGCATGATCGAAGAGGAGGGTCTTGAGACCGGCCTTGAAGGAGACAAGGGAGGAAGCGAGTCGAAGGGACCGTGGGATAGAGTTCCAGAGTGTGTGGACGGAGATGCTGAAAGCTCAGCCACAGACTGTAGAGCGGGTTGGGCGGGAGACATGGAGCAAGCCGGAGCCCGATGAATGGAGGGAGCGGGCAGGTTATTAGGGAGTCAGCAGGTCAGAGAGGTAGGAGGGGGCAAGGCCGAAAGTGAGGACGAGGATCTTGAATTCTCTCTCATCCAGGACTCGATGTTGGCCAGGCAGTCGGTCAGTACTCCTGGAGTTGAGGGTGGAGGCAGAGAGATAGAGTTGGGTGTTATCTACATACATGTGGAAATTTGCCCCATGTCTACGGATGATGTCACCAAGGGGGAGCATGTAGAGGGTGAAGAGGAGGGGACCGAGGACAGAGTCCTGAGGAACGACGCACAAGACGGTGCGGGGGCTGGAGGAGAAGCCGTTTGCTGAGATGAAGTGGAGGCAGTGTGAAAGGTAGGACCTGAACCAGTCAAGGACAGAACCTTGAAGGTTGACGTGGGAGGAGAGTCGGTGGAGGAGGTTTGAGTGGTCCACAGTATCAAAGGCATTGGAGAGGACGAGGAGGCAGAGGGAGCCCTGGTCACACATGGTCAGGATGTCATTTGTGACCTTGACCAGAGCAGTTTCTGTGCTGTGCGCAGCATGGAAACCTGATTGGAGGGGCTCATGGAGTAAATGGGAGGAGAGGAAAGAGCAAAGCTGGGAGTCATGGCTCTCTCAAGGACCTTAGACAGAAAAGGGAGGTTGGAGATGGGCCGGTAGCTGGATAGCTGTGATGGGTCAAGGGAAGGTTTCTTCAAGGTGGGGGTGATAGTGGCTGTTTTGACAGGGTTAGGAACAGAGCCAGATGACAGACGAGGCTGATGATGTCGGCAAGTAGTGGGGCAAGGAGGTGGAGCTGGGATTTAAGGAGATGGGTGGGGATGGGGTCCAGGGAGCAGCTTGTGAACTTCATGGAGGATATAGTGGTGATAACAGAGGAGGGGGTGACAGGTTCAAAGGTGTGGAAGGAGGGAGTAGTGGTCGGAGTGTGGGGGGTGGGAGGGAGTGGCAGTCGAGCGGATTCCCTTGATTTTGATTAGGAGGCAGTTCGGGAGGTGAGGGGGGCAAGGGCATTGAGTGTGGTGGAGACGGTGCTGTGGAGAAGAGTAAGCGCAGTGAGTAGGTTGGTGCGAGAGGTGGGCCAGAGGAGGAGGAGTTCAGAGGACTCCAGGGCAGTGGAGAGGGATTGCAGGGAGATCTTCTTCCACAGGCGATAGAAGATGGTGGTAGGTTTGGAAGGAGTGGGGAGAGGGATATGGGAGTTGAGAGAGATGAAATGGTGGTCAGAGATGACTTTGTCAGTGGTGACATCCGAGACACTGAGGCCCTGGGTGATCACCAGGTCGAGCGGGTGGCCGTGAACGTCGGTAGCAGAGTGGATGTGAAGGGAGGGGTTGAGAGAGCAGAGAGGAGAAGTCTGAGTGAAAACTTTCAAGTCCACATGCCTTGTTTAACAAAAAATTATTTGGAACTAATTTTCTGCATTCCAAGAATAATTTCTCTTGAGAGTTTGCTACCACTGTACTAACTTGTAACTGACAAACACAGCGATAGCTGAGCTTCTTCTGGCTAGAGATACAGCTTCTTCAAGGAGCAGGGAGAAGTTTACTACAAACAGTTTTAAAACTAAAGTGGTAGACAATCAGTTACTGTAATTTGTTTCAGTAATAATAATTCTTGCTTTTGATGCAGCATCTGCAGTATTGACATCTCAAAACGCTTCGCAGATATTTGCTGTCAAGTGTAGTTAGTGTATTTATTAAACACTTCCAAGATACTAAGACGCATGAAGGGCAAGTAGTTATTTCTTTATTTATTAAACTACTTTTTCTTAACCTTTTTGCAGTTGCTTGCCAGACTTAAAGGAAGAAGCTCTCTGAAAAATCTTGAACCAAGACTTTTTACAGAGGAAGGATTGGCAAGTCATGGTAAGATTTCTCCAAAGGTATATCGTTCTGTGGGGGTTAAATTTGTTACCTTATCTAGTTAAGACCAGATCATTTTCTCTTCCAGTTATAGTTCTATTCTTTGGCCCAACAGTTTGTTCGAATTACAATGGGCTGATTTGCTTGCCCAAAGGATAGATCGCAGTAAGGTTGGATTTATGCCAGAGTGTCCTATCTTGTCATAGACTGAATGGTTATTTTGATCCTTGTTATCAGAGGAAAGATCTGCATTATTAGGATTAAATCATCCTGACCAGTCTAGTAACATTTTTATAATCTGATGAGAGAGCTTCAATGCAGTGTTTACATCAATGCATAGCACTGCTGATAGCCATATAGCTGAGCAGATGCAACAACACTGTTACCAACTCCGGCATCTCTTAATCTCTCTGTAAATTCAGTTTGGACAATTTGTGACCAAGCCAGAAAGACATCTTGAGATATAAACACTTTTTTAAGATTGCAATGAAAAGATTAAACAACAACAACAAGATTCCACTTATAGAGCACCTTTCACGTCGGGAGGACGTCCCAAGGCGCTGGACAGCTGGGTCAGGACCCAAGCCTTGGGGGGAAAATGGTGAGGGGAGGGAAGGGAGGGAGCGAGGAGGGGGGAAATGGTCAGGGTGAGGGGAGGGAAGGAGGGAGGGAGTGAGGAGGGGGTAGAGAGTCGAGAGGGGAGCTGAAGGCATGGTCAAAGAGAAAGGTCTTGAGACCGTCCTTGAAGGAGGAAAGGGAGGAGGCGGCGAAGGCACTGGGGGATGGAGTTCCAGAGCCTAGGGGCTGAGAGGCTGAAGGCCCGGCCACCGATGGTAGGGCGGTTGGGGCGGGGGATGTGGAGGAGACCGGAGCCGGAGGAACGGAGGGTACGGGCAGGTAGGTAGGGGATAGTAGGTCAGAGAGGTAGGAGGGAGCAAGGCCGTGAATGGCCTTGTAGGTGAGGATGAGGATCTTGAATTCGATCCTCTGGGGATGGGGAGCCAGTGGAGGCGAGCGAGGGTGGGAGTGATGTGGTCCCGAAGCCTGGTGCGGGACAGTACACGAGCTGCACAGTTCTGAATGACGTGCAGCTTGTGGAGGGAGGTGCCGGGAAGGCCGGCGAGGAGAGACATCCCATAGTCCAGCCTTGAGGTGATAAAGGCGTGGACCAGAGTTTCAGCAGCGTGAGGGGTGTGCCGTAGTCTGGCGATTAAAATTGCTTAACAGTAAAACCAACAAAATACATTGCATCTTTCACGTAGGGAGGGCAATCCAGAGCGCTGGACAGTCAAGGATTTGGACCAGAGCAGAGGGTTGGAATCAGGGGGAGTGGAGGGCAGGGTGGGAAGGGATGAGAGGGTGACCAAAGGTGTAGATGAATAGGAATGTCTTGAGACGGGCCTTGAAGGAGACAAGGGAAGGAGACAGGCAAAGGCAATGTGGGATGGACTTCCACAGGGTGGTCACAGGGAAGCTGAAGGCCTGACCGCCGATGGTAGGGTGGGCCATGCGGGGGATGTGGAGCCTGCTGAGTGGAAGGAGCGGATGGAGTTATCAGATTACAGAGGTAGGGAGGACCAAGGCCGTGGAGGGCTTTGAAGGTAAAGATGATGATTTTGTATTCTGGTGAATGGGGAGTCAGTGGAGCTGGGCAAGAGTGATAGAGTCACGGAGCCTGGTGCAGTACCAATTTCCGATTTCATAAGAAAATCCCAAGCAGACTCTATTGACATGAACACCAGTGAAGAAAAGCCCTTTACCACTGCAAAGATTAAGGTCCATCCCCCCCAGTCCCATTCCCCCACCCCAAATAAAAGAGTTCTTGATTATAACGAGAGAGAAACACCAGCGGTATGGAAATGCTCCAGCATATTATGAGATGTTAGTATTCAATTGGGCATGAAGCCCTGAAAGAATAAGTCAGCAAGGGTTTAACAATGGTTTGTGGGTAATCATTGCAGCTATCATGTAAAATCGTGGAAAGCACGACAGTTTAAAAACAAAATCGATCCAGCAAATATGTGGACATGGATGTTAGGCAACCAGAGCACCAATGGTTAAAGGAAAGCAGGAACAAGCTCATAGAAACACAACACCTCTTACAAAGTCATTGTAGATGATCCAAGAAGGTTTAAAGAGTAAGAAGTTGCAGCCACTGAATTTAAACTGAAACATTCATATTTCACCTCTTACAGTAATTGGAAGGCAGATCTGAGCAGCAGTTAATAATAATAATCCTTGCATTTGATATAGCAACCTTCACAGGATATGCCTCGCAAGCAAGAGGACCCAGGTTCGATTCTAGGGTAGGACAAAACCTTAGGCAAGTTTCCTTACTCCACCTGCCTTTGTTGACCGAGCAGTAAGTAGGAATCTGGTTGTTAGTCGATTGCCAGATCGCTTTTCCAGGGGTAATAATCCCTGCAAAATAATCCCTCCAAAACAAATGCAAGGATTATTATAATTATTATTTTCCTATTGATGGTGTGGATTTCCTCTTATGCACTAACAGGAGACGCTGTTGAGTTTTACGGCCCAGAAGGAACAGGGAAATCTGAAATGCTGTATCACCTGGTCGTGTCCTGCATCCTGCCAGAATTAGCTGGGGGCCTGCAGGTGGAAGTGCTGTTTATCGACACTGATTACCACTTTGACATGCTCCGCCTGGTCACCATTCTGGAACGCCGGCTGCCGCAGGGCACTGAGGACACGGTCAAAGGCTGCCTGAGCCGCCTGTATCTGGTTCAATGCGGGGGCAGTACCCAACTGCTGCTCCTCCTGCACTCCCTGGAGGCCTTGGTTTGCAGCCACCCTGCTCTCTGCTTGCTTATTGTGGACAGCATCTCCGCCTTCTACTGGATGGACAGGCTCAGCGGTGGGGAGAGCATCAACCAACAGGAGGCCAGCCTGTGCCGCTGCATCGAGCACCTAGAGAAACTGCTGAGCGAATACCATTTGGTGTTGGTGGCAACCACACAAGCCCTCATGCATGTGCCAGGGTCCGGGGTGTACAAGTCTGATGGAGTTTCCGCTGCTTGGTTACCTCTCCTGAGCACTGCTGCGCAGTATAAGCCGTACCTGTGCAAGTCCTGGCAAAGACTGGTCAAACATAGGCTGGTTTTCTCCAAGTGTAACAACAATGCAAGGGACAATAAGCTGGATTTCACCATTGTTTCTCTACATCCCAAAAGCAGTGTTGTGAGCAAGTGTGCTTTTACTGTTACTGATGGTGGGATCCAGTTTCTTTAACTCTTCTACAGATTAAGAGTAATTGGTGAGGAGCAGAAGGAGAAAGAGCTTCTGTGATTTACAAGGGGGGGGTGGGGGGAGGTAATCACGTGCCTTTAACTTTGATCTGCTGCTAATTGTATTGGTTCAGTCGAGTCTGTTCATTGGAGGCGGGTAAATCTGAATGAGCTCATTCAACGAGGCAGGTAAATCTGATTAACCCTTTAACTGTGGACTGACCTCCCCCACCCAATGAGGCCAAGTAAAGGAATAAAAATTTTCAGGAATTTTGGTTATGTATTTCAATGGAAACTGCTCATCTTGGTTTGGCTCAATGTGTAACAGGAAGGACTGATCGATGCATCGCCATTTGAAAGCTTTTCTGGTTAACGCCCACTGTAGGACCTGTCTTCAGTAGAGAGCGTTTGATTGAATCAGCCCAGCAGAACACAAAAAATGCAGAATGTTAAAATAATAATAATAATCCTTGCATTTGATATAGCACCTTATCACATTGTTGAATATACTTTACAGTTGACTGTATATTTTGTGGGCGAAACCCAGTAGTCAATTGCACACAGCAGTGTCCCACAAACAGTCGTGGACTGAGTGACCAAATTTTTTAAAAGGGATAGTTACTCCCAGAAAGCGATCTGCCAATCAACTAACTATTGGGTTCCTACTTACTGCTAGGTAAACAGAGGCATGTGGAGTAAGGAAACTTGCCTAAGGTTTCGTCCTGCCTTAAAATGTGCTATCAAGATGGAAATCGGATTGTACTAGTTTTTTTAATAAAATTATTTTAAAAGTGCTCGTCCCACATAATGGAAATGTGCAAACATGCCTTTTTTGTTTCACAAGCGTTGTCTGGTTTTGCACTCAAGACTGGCAAAGCGGCAGAAAAGTGGTTTATCAGATTAAACAGTGTAATTTTATATAAAATTAGTAAACGCTTGTACGGTACTGTACTTCAAGTCCCCAGTATTACAGGGTGAAACTTTGTATCAATACAGTCTGACTATTGCATAAAATCTTCCTGAAGCAATAAAAATTTTATTTAAAATACCCGCACGTGGTAAATGTGGAAAGGATTGGAATAAAGACAAGAAAAACGTTTATGCTGGGAAGTGGAAAATAAAATGTGACCATTTTACTTCTGCGTCTCGCACATCACTAATTTTAGTATTGAGATATTTGAATCTCTTCTCAAATTGTATTTATAATTTGTTTATCCAATGCTGTGTTTTGCTCACAAAATATACAAAATATACAGTCAATTCACTTTACAGTATATCCTGTGAAGCGCTTTGAGATGTCTCAAAGACGTGATAAGGCACTGTATCAAATGCAAGGATTATTATTTATAATTAATGCTTCAATCCAGTACAGCCATGCTTCAATTGAATACAGTAAACTATTGATAACTTGTCATTGCAATCGAAAAGGGCTCAGTGACAAGTTATCCAGAGGGTTGAGTGAGGCATATGTATGATACATAAATAAATGCAGCTGGAATATTGACAGCAAAATGACTTAAGTGGTAGAGATAACTTAAGGCAGAGTTGAGTTACCAGAAGTTTATTGTAGTTATAATTATCCTTTTGTTACAACGCCTTTCACATCAGGAGGACACCTCAAAGTACTTCACAGAAAATACTGTAAAGTTTAGTCACTATTCTTTGTAGACAAATGCAGCAGCCAATTTGAGCACAGTAATGTCTCACAGACAGCAATGAAGTGTGTGACCAGTTTTATCTGTCCCAGAAAGATGTAGAGACAGAATCTATACAGTTATTTAAAAAAGAGATGGTCAAATTGTTGGGTAGAAGAGGAATTAAGGGTTATTAGGATTAAAAGATCTACCAATATTTATGCAGAAATCCTAAGAAGAACAACAACAAAACTACATTTATAGAGCGCCTTTCACATCAGGAGGACGTCCAAAAGCGCTGAACAGTCAGGTGTTGGGACCTGAGCATGGGGGAGGGGTGGTGTAGGGGTGAGGGAAGGCAGAGAGGTGGGAGGGAGACCAAAGGCACGGTTGAATTGAAGGGTCTTGAGATCGGCTTTGAAGGAGGCAAGGGAGGATGCGAGGAGAAAGGACTGTGGGATGGAGTTCCAGAGTGTGAGGGAAGAGAGGCTGAAAGCCCGGCCACTGATGATAGGTCGGGTGGGAGACATGGAGCAGGCCGGAGCCTGATGAGTGGAGGAAGCAGGCAAATTGGTACGGGCAAAAAAAAATAAAGATCTGACTACCTGGCTAAAAGAGTGGTGCGGAGGGCAGGGGTTTCATTTTATGGGCTACTGGCACCAGTATTGGGGGAGACAGGAGCTATTCCAAAGGAATGGACTCCACCTAAACAGGGCTGAATCAAAGTTATGAGCTAGGAGGGTTAAGAATGAGATTAGAAAAGACTCTTTCATGCAGACAGTTGTAAAAATGCGAACTGTAATGACATTGGAAAGCCGTAGACGTAGAATCGATTGCTTTGGTTAAAAGGGAGATCAATGCTTGGGAAGTAAAGGCATTAATAGGTATGGAGAATAATAATAAAAATAATCTTTGCATTTGATATAGCGCTTTATCACATCGTTGAGACGTCTCAAAGTGTGTCACAGAATATATTCTAAAGTGACTTCACTGTATATTTTGTGGGCGAAACACAGCAGCCAATTGTGCACAGCAGTGTCCAACAAACAGTCATGGATTGAATGACATTTTTTTGTAAGGATTATTACCCCCGGAAAGCGATCCACCAATGGACTAACAACTGAGCTCTACTCACTGCTAGGTAAACAGATGCGTGTAGAGTATGGGAACTTGCCTACGATTTCACCCTGCCCGAGAATCGAACCTCGGTTCTTTCGCTTGTGAGGCAAGTTCTCTAACCAACATGCTACAGGACTCCTAAGAAGACGGGATAATAAGGACATAAGAATTAGGAGCAGGAATAGGCCATTCGGCCCCTCGAGCCTGCCCCGCCATTCGATAAGATCATGGCTGATCTTCTGACCTAACTCTAATTACCTGTCCTATCCCCATATCCCCTGATCCCTCTTTTTTTAAAATTTATCAGTCTCAGCCTTGAAAATGTTCAAGGATTGAGCATCTACAGCCTTCTGGGGTAGTGAATTCCATAAATTCACTACCCTCTGAGTGAAGAAATGTTTCCTCCACCCTGTTCTAAAAGGCTGACCCTTAATTTTAAGACTGTGACCCCTGGTTATAGATTCTCCTACCAGAGGAAACAGACCCTCAGTGTCTACTTTATCAGCCCTTTAAGAATCATGTTTCAATAAGATCTCCCCTAATTTTTCTGTACTCTAGAGAATACAGCCCTAGTTTATTCAGCCTATCCTCATAGGTCAGTTCCCTCATCCCAGGAACTAACCGAGTGAATCTACGCGGCAAGTATGTCCTTTTTTAAATAAGGAGCCAAAACTGCACACAATACTCTAGGTGCGGTCTCACCAAGGCCCTATACAGTTGCAGCAAGGCTTCCCTACTCTTGTACTCTAATCCTTTTGCAATGAAGGCTAATCATGCCGTTCGCCTTCTTAGTTGCTTACTGCACCTGCAAACTAACGTTTTGGTGTACAAGGATACCCAAATCCCTCTGAACACTAACACTATCTAATCTCTTCCCCTCTAGAAAAGAATCTGTTTTTCTAGGTGAATAACTTCACACTTCCCCACATTAAATTCCATCTGCCACCTACTCGCCCACTCCCCTAGCCTATCTATATCCCATTGCAATCTTTTTGCATCATCCTGAGAGCTTACTCTCCCAACCTAGTTTAGTATCATCCGAGAATTTAGATACGTTACATTCAATGTCCTTGAGTGGTTCAGGTCCTACCTCTCCCACAGTCTTCATTTTGTCTCCGCTAATGGCTTTTCCTCCAGCCCCCGCACTGTCTCGTGCGGTGTCCCTCAGGGATCTGTCCTCGGTCCCCTCCTCTTTCACCCTCTATATGCTCCCCCTGTGGTGACATCATCCGCAGACATGGGGTTAACTTCCACATGTATGCGGATGACACCCAACTCTACCTTTCCTCCTCTACCCTCAACTCCACGACCACCGATGTCCTGACAGCTGCCTGTCCGACATCGAGTCCTGGACGAGAGACAACTTTCTTCAGCTCAACGTGCGAAAAACCGAGGCCCTCCTGATTGGCTCACGTCAGCGCCTCCGCACCTCAGGCGCTGACAGCATCAGCATCTAAGGCTGCACTCTCCACCTCTCAAAGCCAGTCAGGAACCTCGGGGTTCTGTTTGACCCTGAGCTGCCCTTTCTTCCTCATATCTGCCTTCCATCACCTCCGGAATATCGCCAGACTATGGCACTACCTCACCCCTCACGCTGCTGAAACACTGGTCCACGCCTTTATCACTTCAAGGCTGGACCATGGGAACTCTCTTCTCGTCGGCCTTCCCGGCACCTCCCTCCACAAGCTGCAGGTCATTCAGAACTCTGCAGCTCGTGTACTGTCCCGCACCAGGCTTCGTGACCACATCACTCCCACCCTCGCTCGCCTCCACTGGCTCCCCATCCCCCAGAGGATCGAATTCAAGATCCTCATCCTCACCTACAAGGCCATTCACGGCCTTGCTCCCTCCTACCTCTCCGACCTACTATCCCCCTACCTACCTGCCCGTACCCTCCGTTCCTCTGGCTCCGGTCTGCTCCACACTCCCCGCCCTAACATCGGTGGCCGGGCCTTCAGCCTCTCAGCCTCTCGGCTCTGGAACTCCATCCCCCAGTGCCTTCGCCTTGCTTCCTCCCTTTCCTCCTTCAAGCCGGTCGCAAGACCTTTCTCTTTGACCGTGCCTTCAGCTCCCCTCTTGACTCTCTACCCCCTCCTTGCTCCCTTCCCTCCCCTCACCCTGACCATTTCCCCCCTGCTTGGGTCCTGATCCAACTGTCCAGTGCCTTGGGATGTCCTCCCGACACGAAAGGCGCTCTATAGATGAAATCTTGTTGTTGTTGTTGCAGCTCATTGATGTAAATGGTAAATAGCTGAGGCCCAAGCACTGATCCTTGTGGCACTCCACTAGTCACATCCTGCCAATTCGGGAACGACCCGTTTATCCCTATTCTCTGTTTTCTACCCGTTAGCCACTCTTCAATCCATGCTAATATGTTCCCATTAATCCCGTGGGCCTTAACCTTGTGCAATAGCCTTTTGTGTGGCACTTTGTCAAATGCCTTCTTAAAATCTAAATATACTGCATCTTCTGGTTACCCCCTACGTAACCTGTTAGATACATCTTCAAAAAACTCTT